AGGAGTGGGGCTTGGAGGGTCAGGCTCCTCAGGCTCACGTGAACAGAATGTCTTCATCTCACCGGGAAGCTTTCCCTTCCTGTCCAACTCCTCCTCACTAAAGCCGCCTCTTCTGGAAATTTTCTTAGATTCTTTCCTCTAGTTGCTTTGCTCTCCTTCCCTGGCCCTGTGGAAAACTGGCTTTTGACGGAGCTACTTTCTTAGCACTTGGACACTCCTTTCCCCCATACCCCCCACCCCCTGCCCAGTGTTTGAGTTTCTAGTTCAAATCTCAGGCTCATCAGCTCGAGCACATTAGACGTAGCAGCTGGGAGCTGGGTCTGCTGTCAGTCATGGCTGTGGCCAGAGATGAGCTTAAGTCACTGAGGACTTGGTTCTTCCTGAAACCAGACCTATACCAGTCACATGTGGACACCCTGCCCAGCTCCCACGCCAAGTTGGGAGCCTTGCCTTCCCCACCCCTACAGCCCCTGAGCCTGGACCTCCCCTTGGGCTCTGGCCCTGCCCCTGGGACCATCTAGTTCATACCCTTTCATAGTAGTGCAGGAGCCCCTGGAAACCTTGCTCTGTGTTTACTATAACACTGGCAGCTCCCTATCCCTACTGAGCTCAAGCTTCTGGTGTCTCCTGACTCCAGAGACTGCACTTTTGGCCTCTTCTCCTTGACTTCTGGGTTCTAGCAAGTCTGGGTGCTGATGCTTCTGGGGTGGTGATATGGAGTATATTTCTTGTTGGCTATCATAGAATCTGCCTTGAGCCTTTAGATTCTGAATGGTGATGTTTGTAAGCAAAGGACCTTTACATCTTCTAAGGCTGCTTGGGGTATATAAGATACAGAGGAAGTGCTCATGAAATGGTTACTGGTTAATGACAGCTTTTCATCAGCCTGGTTTGGGTTTATTCCCGAAATTGTTCCTTCTCCTTCCGTCCACCCACTCAGTTATATGACACACACATGCAAGAATGACTCCGCCTCTCCCACCCTAGTCTCAGATTCTTACCCTGCATAAGAAGGGTGTGGATGTCCGTCGGAGGGAATTTCAAAGCTTCTTCTGGGTCTTAGTCCAGTAGTAAATGCTCCTCCTATGTCTGGTAGTCCTGTGAGTGGGCACTGTTTGAAGGTTCTACAGATGCTGTCAGCTACTAACTTCCCAGTGAGCAGATTACAGGGCAGATAGGAAAATAATTCAGCTCTTCCCTGTGGGTGCGAAGACTGTGTCTTCCTTTGAGAATGAATATTTGTCCTTGTGAGATATGTGGCTCCACAAATGTTTTGGATTTTTCAAAGACTGAAGGGTATATTCACAACTCCTACTGCCCATGAGGCCTTGGAAGGGCACGTGTCTGTGGGTGGGGGCCAGAGCCCACCTGGCAGTTATTCCAGGCTGCTTAATTCAGACCTGAGAAGTATACGGGAAATGCAGGAAGCCGTCATGGGTGGGTGGGTCCTTGGTTAGGGATGGATTTTTCTCTCCATGGCTTCCAGGGGATGAGGAAAACTTGAATGCCAGACAGCTTTGATGTTGGAGATAAGGAGAGTCAGGTCAGTCAGGGCTGAGCTGGGAAGTAGAAGCCTTTGGTCCCTCTTACTTCTTGCAGGGCTTGCTGCAGCTGCAGCAGTTTTGCCCTGAGGGGTGTGGAGCAGCCAGTTCAGGGACAGGCAAAACAGTGAGGCCTCTGCTTAGCAGAAAACCCCTCTTTCTCAAATACATCACATCAGAGGGGGTGGCTGACTAAAGGGAAGGCTGACCTTAGGCAGTGTGCACCTGTTTTGAGCTCCAGAGATCTGCAGATTTGCCATAGCCTCTGTGGGCCACAGGAACTCACGCCCCAAGGCAGTTCAATCTTGAAAAGAACAGGCAGATGCCTAGTGAGTGCCTTTGGAAGGGAAGGAGCCAGGAGGGCTTCAGAAGTTTATTTCAGCTGGGCTTGAAGAAGAGCTTGTGTGAAGGCCTGCTTGCCTGCAGGTGTGAACATCTGGGGCCCGCCTGTCCTGGGCTATGCTCCCATGCAGCTAGACTGTGGTGTGTGTAGGGAAGAAAAAGAGATGCGGAGTGGGCCTCTTGTAGCTGATTCTAGTGGAAGTGCAGATTTTGTTGGCTAAGAGCATCCAAAGTACCACTAAGCTGCTTATTCTGTAAACAGCACAAAGGGTAATGCGTTTAGTGATTCTCAAAGCAGTATCACCTGGGGACTTGTTGGAACTGCTAATTCTAGGGCATGCCATAGGAATACTGACTCACATCCTGCATGCTTTAGTAAGCCCTCAAGGTGGTTCTGATGCAGGCCAAAGTTTGAGAACCACTGGTGTGGTGGACAAATACTAGACTTTGGAGGGCAGGCAAGATGAGGGAAGTGCGAGACAGAAAACTTACCCTGCGTGACAGTCCACAGAATCGGAGCATGAGAACTTTCCTTACCCCTTCCTTTACTGGAATTCAGCTGTAACCAGAAGGGGTCTCTACCACTGCATCCTCTTGTGGGTGGATGACTCCAGGCTTAGAATGGTGAGGATCATAGGGTAAGCTCTGGAGCCAAGTCTGCACCCAAGTGGCCTAACTCCAAAAGCTGGGTTTTCCTGACACTGCCAGTACCTCATGGCCCCACTGTAGTGCTGTGTGTTGTAGCCTTCACCTGAGCAGGTGCAGGAAGGGGCCTACAGCTGGAGGCTCCTTTCCCAAGGTGCAGAGCTGAGACCAGTGGGCGAGATGAGGTGTTTGCAGAAGGGTTGCAATTCCCATCAGGGAGCTTATCTTACACATGTACTTTTCTAAATGACCTACTGCTGCCCTTGATTTCTAGGGCTGATAGGTTAAATGTGAGGTTAATGAGAAAAGCAGGGTGAAAAATTGCCTGTATGCTGTGATTATAGTGACCTTAGATTAAAAAAAAAAATAAAAACAAAGGGAAAAACTCTCAGTGCTAAAGTTTTCTTCCTTTTCCCCAAGCTGTTGTGTGATTATGATAAATATGCATTTATTTTATTTATTTTTGTACTGGGAATCAAACTCAGGGCCTTGCACTTGCCAGGCAGGTGCTGTGCCATTGAGCTACATCCCTGGCCCTGCATATATGTTTTAAAATGCAGCGCCCCCTCGTGGAAAGCAGTGGCACTATAGACAGGGCAGTGCCTTTGGGTCCAGTGCTGGCCCACTCGGCAGGACAACTTCGGCTTTCTGCCCCCTTGGAGTCTGTCCCTGAGGGCAGCAGCCAGGGCCGGATGTACAGCACCAGCTGATGTCAGATACTTGCTGTTCATTTGGTCTGTTGGCAAGGAGAAGCCTGCAGGTCTTTGTGACCTTCGAGAAGTCCCTTTCCATGATGGCTGTGACCTGGAGGACTTACAAGAGGCTTTGGGGCCTAGGACTGAGTCCAGTTCATCCTGATAACAACCACTATCTCCCAAAAAAGGCCACCAAACACATTTAAACACAAAATATTCTTTTATTTGTCAACGAAAGCTACACGGGATCACTTCTGGTTTTGTTTTTATGCTTTTTTTTCCTAGAAGGTATCTACATCTGCATTTATTTACAGCCTTGTTGGTATGTACACAGTCAAGAATACAGTGTTAGAAACAAAAATGTTGAGAAAAAAACTTCTCAAAATTAGTTCCAGACTTCAGGAAAACTATTTGCACACGGTAAGGCCAGAGTCTCCAGGGCTGGTCATCCAGAGGCAGCGAGGCACAGTCCTTTGCCAGAGCTGCAGGTTCAGAAGTCCTCAGAACAACAGGCAGGTTTAGAAAAGGGAGATTCTGGTGGGTGAATCCGGGGCTGCTGGGGCACTGCCAGACACCTGCTGATCAGCTTCTGCTAGGAAAGCTGAGCCTGTGCGGGAATCAGTCCTCCCTCGGCAGTTTTCCCTCAGAATAAATCACATTTTCTTGGGGACCAGGAGGTCACCGGGTTTCATGCCTTTGGCATTTCAAAGGGGAAAGGAAACGTGACAGAGGCCCCCACCCAGAGCGCCCTGACTCTGATCTTTCACATCCGGAAGGAAACCTCAGAACGCACCATAACCGGGGCAGTCAAGGTTCCAAGCTGGTTTTTGAGAATGTAAAGGTTGGAGAGGATAAAGTTTCGGTCACCTGAGCAATGAGTCTTTAAAATGAGTTTGGGAAGGTCAAATAAAAGGGCCTTGAACTACAAACAAGTGCATGACCCTAGCTGGGAACAATGTTCCTTAAATGGAAGGCTTTTAGTCCCGACGAGGGAAGGGGGAAGCTGGGTTCTTTCTGGGAACCCTCAGAAGCAGAGTTCTCTGACCAGGACTAGATGCCACCTCCTTGGCTTATTGGCTGCTGTGAGGAATGCAGAACAGACTGCACTTTGTGTGTCAGGTGGTCAAACCCTGCTGAGGGCCAGCAAGCTCCTTCCTCCTGGGCACCAAGCTCAGCATCCCTTCTGTCACTAGAGGGCCACTGCAGACACAAAGCTGCAGATGGTCAAACTATGTCCTAAGATTTCACATTGAAAACCCTGTCTTTGCAGAATGGAAATCGCTGCTGTCTATAAAGGTGAGACTTAAAAGTCACAGCTGAAAAGGCCTTTTCTTCTTCTTTTGAAAATTCTGACTCCTTGTTCTGTGTCTACAAAGCACTGCCCAGTTTACTCACCTCCCTTGCCTCTTCCTCATCCTCTGCTTCCAACCCGACCCTAGCCTGATTATCTGGAAGCACAACTCCTGGCCATTCTTAGCCTCCAATCATTTTCCTAGGGATTGTTTCAAAACTTCCAGCCCTAAGTAGAAGTCAGGCACTGGTGTGGACCTCGGTTCCGTCTCAGCTGGCAATTCTGAAGCAAGTGTCAGAGGCTGTCAAAGGTTGGTATTCCACGGAGTCCCTCCCCTCCCTCCTGTTGTCACCATCCTGCCCTGCCTTCCAACAATGTCTGTCTGGAGGTTGGGTAAAAGGAAATCTTATTACATAAAAGACAAAGTTAGGTCCTAGCCCTTGGGAATTTGAGGCCAGACTGGGCTAAAGAGCAAGACCTTGTCTCAAAAAAAAAAAAAAAAGGGACAAAGTCGGGGAATTAATAACATCTTAGTGGCAGAGAGGCTGACTGGGAGTTGAGGAGGAGGGGAGAAGGCAGGAGCTATTCTAAAATAAACCTCCTTCTAGGGTCAGAAGCCAACTTCCTACAGAATCACAAACCTGGGCAGTGCAGGAGGTCTGACCACTTCACTAGTTGGAAAGATTTTGATTGATTAGTGCCAAAAGGGCAGGTGCCATCAAGGATGGGAGTTAATGCTTGGAGCACACTAAGTAGGCACAGAGAACTCTGGTGTATACCTTCAGACTCATCCTTGCCATGGGATTGGGACTGCTAGTCTCAGCAGGGGGACAGATTGAGAGGGAAAGTCCTGAGTCACCTGCCAGGCTGAATGGGAACCAGCTCCAAAAAGCCAAGGCCAGAGCCTCTGGTCCAAATGATAGCACAGTGTAAAATGAAGATACATGGTACTGCCCACCCCATAGTTCCTCTCTAAAGCTTGGGGTTGCAGAAGCTGGGCATTCAGCCCAGGAAAAAGAAAATATAGGATTGCTCCTTTAAATAAAGGAACACCTAATTCTCTGTGCTTTTGATCCTTAAAATTAGTCCACTGTATTCTTTTGGAGAGGGGGTAGCAGGGGAGGACAAAGGAGCTGGGGAGGTATAGGGGGATGGTTCTCTTGAACCATATGTTGTCTCTGACCTCCAAGTAGATGTCCCCAGCAGGTCTTGACTGATGTTAGGCAGCCAAGAGGGGGACTGATCAATTAGGCCAACAGGTAGGAAACTTTGCCCAAGGACCTTCATAGCAAGAGTACGTTTTGAGAGGCATAAATTTCTTTTGTATTAAAAAAAAAAACTAACTTGTGTTCTTCAGGCCAAACTGATTTCCAATCCATCCAAAAAAGCAGCACATGACATGTGCAGTGGGCCTGAGGAGCATTGAATCTGACTCGGCAGAGCTCTGGATCCAGAGGCAATGGGCAACCAGCGGACAAACAGGCCACAGCACACTGTTGAGGCAGTGTGACTTTTTTTGGAAACAGGAAGAGCACTTAGCGAAACACATCCTCTAATCCCAGTGGGATGATGTAAGGCAAGATCTCCCCTCCCCGAGAAGCTCTGAATACCTCCTGCTGCCCGGCAGAACCCGGACTACATGTTGCTCCGATTCTCATGCAGTAAGAGACCTTCTTGGTTTCATTAACTTGTGTCACATTCTGAAGACTCTGTGAGTAAGGCTATAAAGGTGCCATGAGCTTATCAGTCCAACAAGGTTTCCACGGGGAATAGCTCAGACTCAGAATTCATTTTCCACACTTAATGTAAATGTAACCCATAAAGTCCCATTTTCTAAGAAGCCCAGCTCAAATGGAAGCATTTGGCTTCCCCTCCTGTCTCTCAGAGCCTCCTGTGAGTGGTAATGAGAACGGTAATTAAGCAGATGAAACAGGAATGAAATCCTTGAACAAGGAGCTTTCAGCTCATGCTGCTACCCTCCTCTGCCCTCCTTGCTTCCCTGGTCTCCTGGCTGCTGCCTCCTCCTGGGAAGCCTCCAGCCATGGGTTGTACCTGCTCCTGAGAGGCCATCAGCCTTTTCCTGATGATGCAGACATGGGTCTTCACAAGAACAATGCTAGCCTGGCCTTCCAGATCCATGGTATTGGCTTCAGGACTGGCCCCTGATAGAAGTGGAGTTGTACACCACTGAAAGGCCACACCAAAGTAGCTCCTTTCTCTTAAAAAAAAAACCCCAAAAAACCCCAAAATACACAACCCTGGTTGGGCTTCTCTAGAGGGAAAACTGTTTCTAGAGGAAGTTCACAGAAGGGGTTTCCCGAAGGCCTAGGTTGCTGTAGCATAACTCTGGGATGAGCCTGCACAGGGGAGGCAGAGGCAACTTCAGGAGCTGGTTAGAAAGATGCTTGGTTCATGCCTTTGCTTACTCATCTCTTTGGCTGACTTTTAAATTTTGTATCTTTCCAGGATCAAAGGCCACCAAGCACCTCTCGCCATACTTCTGTCTCAGTGGCTGCAGCTGAGCAGTGGACGAAAGGTACCCAAAGTCATGGGGAGGGGGAATCCTTCCCTTCCTTGGACTTGCTGCCATGTGGAGGGCTCGCTGTGCAGTGCTGGTTCTCACATCTGGCTTTGGGAGAGAGGAAGAGATGAGTAAGGGACATCATGGAGGATCAACCAATCAAAGACATCCTGGGTGCTTTCACCTTTTGGAGAGGGTGGGGCTCGTAGCTCCAGGATGTTATATCACCAGACTGAGGAAAGGATCTGGGAACAGTTCCTTCAGCCCAGTATGGGGGTGGCACCGACAACTACATGAGATTTGCAAAAGGGAGAAGGGGTTTCATTTAGCATCAAAATATAAAGCTTGGACACGAGTTTGGGGCAGTTTGGAAAGGCGCTGAGTGACATGGTGAAATTCTCCAGAGCAAGATGAAGCCATCTGTGGTCCTCCAGAGGCACAAAGCACAGTGAGTAAGCACCCACCACTTGTCTGTGGGAGCCTAGCCAAAGCTCCTGAGGTTCTACAGGCCCATCACTCTCGGCACCCCTTGCTCTTGCCTGACCCCAGTCAAAGAAGAAAGGGTTGCACATGAGACAAGCACAGACACTCACGTCTCACATCGCACTGGGTACCCAGTGACAGTGAGGACACATCCCAGGAGATGTACATCCCAAAGAGAAGAGAAATGGACCCAAATAACAGGGAAAATTCCTTAAGGAGAAAGGGAACAAAAGACAGTAAAGTTTTCATTGTGATCACACTACAGAAAAAAATACCTTCTGTTCTTTGCAAAAAATGTGTGAAGGCCAAATTTGTGTTTTTCTTTTCTTAAAAAAAAAAGAATGTTGCATGATTAACAATGCAACTAGTATCTTTTTGTTTTCTGCACTTGTTAAAAAAGCTTTTTTTTGTTTGTTTGTTTTTTTGTTTTGTTTTGTTTTTAAAGTACAACACAGTCAGGTGTGCGGCCACAAAAGAGTAGCTGTCTTTGGCAAGAAGTCCAGGCCATAGCCCTCTCTGTCACCTTCGGCCCATCTCGCTCTGTCTCATGAAGTGGATGTTGTTGGCACTGTCTGATAGTTCTGGGTACTGCTCGACGGAGATCACGAAGAAGCCATCATAGCCTTGCACCCGCCCTGTGTTCAGTACCTGCTGCTTCTCTCCCTCTGTCCAAGCCCGCAGGCCCTCCTCCCCTTCCTGCAGTCTCTGCTGCTCTCGGACCCACGCCTGGCGCACGGCTCTCTGCCGGGCCAACTCCAGCACCCTCGCCTTCTCCTCGTCCAGCGTCGTACCATAGCGGGTGTTCAAGCACAGTGCCCCATACTGGAGCTGGATGTCAGTGTAGCGTCTAGTCCTGCCATTGAGCATGGTGTTGATCTGGGACACTGTCACGTTGACCCCATTCTCCAGGGTTCGCTGCCCCCCACTGAGGCCCAAGATGGCCAGGTCACCCTCTGAAGACCCTGGTTTCACAAAGTAGTGGGTGTCCATCCCATTGATGGTGAAGTGCAGGTTCTCTAAGTAGTGAGCATTGTTCAGGATGGCAGCAACCCTTCGCCCATCCTCATTGGCCATGCTGATGATATCCGTGGTCACTCGACCATCCTTCAAGGCAAACTTGACCCCTTTGCCAAAGACTGAGCCGCTAGATGCAAACTTCCTCGTCTCTGGGGCCTGCTGGCAGCTGGTGACTGTGGAGCCATAGAGCTGGTCAAAGCGTTCTAAGGTGACGAAAGCCTTGAGCTGTTTCTGCACTTCACATTGTACTCCAAGGATGGACTGATGGAAGAGGACAGTGAGAGAGAGAGTATGTAAGACAAAAGGAAAAAATTCTTAAGAACATAGAGAACCAGTTTAAGTAACTAAGTCAAATCTGTTCATAGGGTTAACTGGTAGCATTGATCTGTATTGCTCGCTACCAGCACATCCAGCCACCCATCCACCCATTCACCTACCCTTCATTTCAGACTGTCTAGAGAGCTTCTACTCTGGGCTAGTCCTTTTCTGAGCACTGGAGATGTAGAACTGAATCAGACAGCATCTCTGCTCCTCATTTATGGTGAAAGACATAGCACAGTGATAACTGAAATCAAAATGTGACAACTGGTGGTCCAAGGTAAGACTGGTGCTATGGCTTGATCTTCAAGCTATACACTCACCATTCATTGTCTCATTTGAGCCTCACAATAATTTCATATGGTAATTACTATTATTCTGCTTTTATTTCTAAGGCTCAAAGAAGTTATAACTGGCTCATAGTAATACACTAATGCCAAGTCAGCCTTCAAAGCCAGACCTGTCTGATCCCAAGGCTCAGTTTTAAGGGTTGCTGCAGTAGGGATAAGAAAACAAGGCCCAGAACCAGGGAACCTGGTTGGGAAGAAAGGAACTGTACTGCTGTAAGCACCTCAGGCTGAAGGTGGAGGAGAGAGATGGAGAGGGTGGGGTTTGAGTTCAGGCCCATGTTTGAGTTGGGACTTGAAAGATGAGAAGGGTGATGTTTTAGAGGAAGGAATGGCTATAAATGTATAATAAAAGAAAAGCAGTGATTTATATCAGCCCTCTTACTCTGTCTCATATTTACATGTGACTTTTCAAGGAAAGCCTCTGCCCCACAGGGCTTCTTTGGGACTGCTTGGGTGACCCTACACTCGTCTACTCTGGGGGACAGGAAAGGCCCTGAGCTTGGCGGACCATGTCCCTGGCCCTCCCATAGCTCGGGAGGTCAGGGAAACCATGATCAGAAAGGCTCCAGGGCCTTATCAGCAACTCAGGGAAATGGCTTTAGAGATAGGCCCATCACCTCCCACTGAAATTAAGTCCTCTTTATAATTAATAGAACCCTGTCTGTGAACAGTTATTTCCTAGAGTTTCATGAAAGCTGGAGTGCTCAACAACAAAGATCTCTGATGCTTGCCAAGGGCAGAAATCAATAATTCATTGACAGGCAAGGTTGGCAAACAGGCAGTCTGAGACAGGGACTCCGAGGAGTGCGGAAGGGAACCTGGTTGGGGAGAAAAGAGCTGTACTGCCACAGTCAACCCAGGCAAAGCAGATGCGGGGGAATCTGGGGCAGGGCTTGGGGTGGGGAGGACAGGAGAGGGCCAAGGCAGCAGAGGGTGGCAAAACGAGGATAGGCTCAAGGCCAGGCAAGCCTGGGTTCTCACTGCCTTCTGCCACTTCCCAGCGGTGTCCTGGGTTAAGTTTTTCTCTGAACCCTGGTCTCCTTATCTGTAAAGTGGGCTGTTTACTTCTTCAACCGACAAAAGTTTTCTGTGCATCTATGAGGCGATAGCCAGTATTCTGGATACTTAAGGAGACCTTAAGCTGTGGTGGCTCACAGTCTGGTGGAGAGACAAGAAAGAAAACAGGAATCAAGATATAATGTGGGGAGTGCATTGCAAGAGGGAAATATAAAGTGCCACCTAACCATAGGGGTGCAGATCTACATTTTTGAGTCTAGGGGAAGGAGACAAATAGCATGAGGGCTGAAGGAATAAGTCTGGAATAGGAGATGGATGGGAACATTTCCAAACAGCCGCAGAATGATATATGGCAACTCTGCTTCCCCCTGCTGATGCCCTTGAAGGCTTGGTGTCTGCCTGATTCATCCCTTCATTAAGTGGGAAGAGCACAAGGCTAGGCAGAGAGTTGGCAACCAGCAGAGAATATATGAATGGTGGCACTGAGGGTAGAGCAAATGAATGCATGAAGTGAGGGGGCAGGATGGGACTATTTTAAGGATTTTTTTTTTTTTTTTTTTTTTTGGTACCGGGGATTGAACTTGGGACCTTGTTCTTGAGAGGCAGACAGTGGAACCACTGAGCTAAATCCCTGGCCAAGAATCTTTAGAGATATATAATCTGAGCTTTTGAAACTGGGTCATAAAAGAAAGACAAGAAAGTAATGTTTTTTGAACACCTATAGTATGCTAGGCCCTGTACTTAGCAAGATGGTACAGAACCGACAAATCTGGGATTAGATACTGGCTCTAGCCCTCCTTGCTGCATGACACTGGGAAGCCTCAGGCCTTAAATCTGCAAGATAAAGACAATAACACCATGGGATATTTATGAATTAATTTATGAGAATACCTCAGCCAAGGCCAGGTGCATTAGGTGCTTAGAAAATGTCACCTTTGCATTTAGAACATGCCTTCTCTCCCTGCACTTTTGCTCAGACTGTGTAAAGGCTTATTATTTCTGGGGAACTCCAAGCTTGGTGTGGCACAGAAAACTCTCTCAGGCAGGTTGTGGCCATGTGGCGCCTCAGCTGGGTCCCCAGTGGCCTGCCTGGTGGTACAGTTACTGTTTGCTGAATGTTCTAGGCAGGCACCGTGGAGGCACAGTCTTGGCTCCCATCACTGGCCAGAGCTTTTCTGGAAAGCTGGAGGGAAGCCCCTCTTGTAACATCAGAGGGGGCCAAGGTGTAGGGTGCACATGTGGGCATTACCTTGCTGTTGTCCCACTCCTGAGTTTTCATCTGTGTGTGCACGAGCTCGTAGGATGGTTCCGTGGCATCCATGTCTGGTTTGGGGTAGCCAGGGATCACGTTGTGCAACTGGAATCCAAAGGTGAGCAGCCAGCTGTTGACATCTGGATGGGAGAGAAGCAGAAACATCTCCATGGAGTAAGTGGACCCCCCCCATTTTTGCCTCATCCTAATCAAGCAGCCCCGAGAGGCTGCAGGTGTGGGTGTGTGGGTGTGGAGGGCCGTTGATGGGAGAGCCACTGCTACAAAAACTTTGGAAAACAGACTCATGGTCTTAGAGCCAAATGTGCTTCTGCAACCCAGCAACCCTCCTCCCAGGTATGTTCCCAAGTGAGATGAAACTGAGGTAGAACCTATGTTTCCGGCCTTTTCTTTCCACTCCCACTTCCAGCCATGGGGGCCTCTAGCTTTGTGTGCAAGGGCAGCCGTTAATGGATGATGGTTCCCTACTTCCACCTCCACCACTGTCAAGAAAACTTAAAAAGGACAGCAAGAACCAAAGGGAAGAATTTAATGATTTGCAAAGAGAAAATTCCAGAAAGAAATAAACTGTCCCTTCTCTTCTTATTCTCAGCAGAAGTGGAGCCTCAGGCCCAAAGTGCCACCAGGAGTGGAGATGGCTAGTACAAAATCAAAGAATTTGCCCCTTGCTCCTCCTGCCTTTTATTTCTTCTGAGATCAGCTGAAGGAAGTCACTGAAACTCCCTGTGCTCTTATTTTCCAGTCTGTTCAGTGGGCTTGAGAACTTAATTCCATAGGTGTGGGATCAGCTGATTGCACAACATTCTTTGGGGTTACTAGTTACACCCGACCAGAGATAGGGATAAACAGGTTTTGCCACGAGCTTTTGGCTCACTGGAGAATGGAGTCAGGAAACCAAGACCTGAGGGAAGAAAGAGGATTGAGTGTGTATTGTCCGGTACTTGGCCCCCGGGGCAGAGTAACTTTTATGTGTCAGTAGGTAACTGTGTCACAGATTCCTCCCCTCAGGAACCTGTGGGGGGATAAGAATGGTGCAGATAACTTCTAAACATGGAAAAAGATCCTAGAAGGGCAGAAATCTTCCAGCTGGATAAAGCCTACATGTAGAAGACAGCACTGAAGCCAGACATCAAAAGCTATGTAGAGCTTGTCAGGTCTCAATGGAGATGTGGTGCTTCTGCCAAGCTGGGACAGAGTAGGGGGCTGCAGGGAGTGTTCAGGTTACCAGAGAGGAGCTCAGAAAACTTGAGAAAGAACTAGACAGGACAGATCTTGGATCGGCAAGGAGGAGGAAACTCGGGCAACCCACTTTCCGGTACCCCTTTTGTGTCTCTTAGACAGAAGCTATCTTGCTCTCAATAAATCCTTCCTACTCTTAACCTCTGTTGTTCCTAGAATTTATTCTTTGATTTTAGAGAACATGAATTTGCAGATATCTAGCAGGTTTACGAGTCACATCTATTTCCCCTATATCATTTTGGAGGTCTTCCACTGAGATTACTGGTTGGAGACTCAAAGCTATGTGCTTTGAGGATATATGAGGAGGACAATCAAGACACATTCACTGAAAGCCAGCATTGTACAAGAGAAACCACTACACCCATGTGCTTCCTCTAAGGATGAATAGCAGTGCAAGTAGGTATCAGTAACCTGGGTGGGGGACAAAGATCTTCCAAGAAAGATCCCTGACCCACACCTTACCACCAAAGATCCTTGCTCATTCCTTGTACACTTGCTATGTGACTTGTTTCCCCACTGGATCCCCATTTAATCAGTATTACCTAAGCAACTATACTTGTCATAATCTTATTGTTCATAGTTTTATCCACTTTGTGATTTCTCATTGGATCAATTATTACTTAAGCAACTGTACTTATAATCTTACTAGCTGACTATAGTTTTGTCCTACCTTGAACCCACCTCACCTCATGGCTTTGTCCCACAAAACACCTTTGAGAAGTTGGGTGAGTGGCAACCCACTTTCTGGTCCCCCTTTTGTCTATCTCAGACAGAAGCTATTTTGCTCTCAATAAATTCTTTTTATTAAAAAAAAAAAGCAGGAAACTGGGTCCTATAAGAGAGAGGCCAACAACCTATGTCCTAAGATGGCTCAGCCTTCTTTGGGAAGGGGCAGCTAAAGACACCAAAGCAGTTGATGGTCAGAGACTCAGCAACCAGAGTTCAAGGGAAACAGAGCCTCAGGGCCAGGCCCCATTTTTACTTCTTTTGTTTTTCTTTTTTCTTTTTTGGTACTGGGGATCGAACTCAGGACCTTGTGCTTGCGAGGCAAGGGTGGTGCCACTACTTTTGGTTTCTTTTCAAAGGAGAGCTACCGAGTCCCAAGGTCCTGTTGAGAACTGCCTTCCCCCAGCACTTGCTGATCCCAGGGCTGCAAGTGACCTTTGGAGTCAGCAGCTATGGCCCGCCTTTCTCTTCTATTCAAGGACCTCAAGTTTGCCTTGCATTTGTTTCCAGTTGTCCCCAGGCCCCTCTGCTGGATGTAAAACCTAGAGGACCAGAGGTGGAGTGGTGGGAAGAAAGGACACAGAAAATATGCAACTAAAAAAATTTAAAAATCCAAGTTCAGCCTTACTAGGCAGGATCATAACAAGAAAGAGGACGTTGTATCTGAGGTCAGACAAACCAGGTCCAAATTTTGGTTCCCCAGCTTACAAACTGTGTCAACTTGGGTAACTTAACTTCTTTGAGATTTTATTTCTTTGCAAAGTAATGAAAGACATGGTTTTAACCAAGTCATGAAGAAGAACACCAATAGTGTTATCCTTTAAGGGCAGTTATCATATAGCAGGAGGTATTCCAAGTTTGTACATAGATTACTAGATTTATTACAATTAAAGTGTTCAGCACAGTTCCTGGCTCTCCATTGCCCCCAACCCATGCCTCCAAATCTCAAGACCTCCAATTTTTCACTTGAGGAGAGGCTTAGGCAAACTTTTCTCCAGAGCCTCTTTCCTCATTGAATTTCTAAGAGACTTTGATTCTATGACTCTTGGCAGATGGTTCTCTGGGAAATTAAAACAAACAGAACAGGGAAAATGGCTTACAAAGCCATTTTGCTTGAGGCTGAGAACTTGCATCTGAATTTGTAGTTGCAAAGAAAGATTCTATGTGGAATACTGTAAATTCCCAGAAAAGCAGGGGTCTGAAAGGAGGGCTGGACCTTAATTAGAAGTGATGGAAGGTGGGAAACTTTCTTATTGTGTGTTTTGGAAAAATGCTGAAGATGTATTTATTCATTGGTGTTCTTACAGTGCTTTTCTGAAGAGTTGGGAGCCATAGTTTTCTTACATCAGTGGTAGACATTTCCCTCTCCTTAAAAAGCTTTGTTTTACCCATGCATCCTAGACATTAGTGCTATCCTAGAATAAGATGCAAGCAATAATAATCCCAGCTTTGTTAAGTGTATTCTGATCCAAAAACAAAGGGTTTGGAGATACAGCAGAATCCTAATGCCAGTCTTGCCTCTTCTTAGTGGGGACAGTAATTTTACCTCTCTGACCTCACTTTCTGCCTCTGTAAGTGGTGTTGGTATTTCCCACCTCACAGCACAAGAAGATTAAGTGTCTACCATGTATCTGTGGTAGACACTTTTGGTGGCCTTCCCAGCATCCCATTCTGACTTCTCTTTCTTTTCTGGGGTTTTCATGTAGTTTTAGGGATGCTGACTCAGTTATGGATCCAGGCTCAGTCAACTGATGTATTCTGTTTCCCCAACCCAAGTGAGTGTCTAAATATATCTTGGGACTCTTAAAGACATTTTTGGGAAAAAGAAGAGTTTTTGTTTTTGTTGTTGTTGTTGTTGCTGGGTATAAGGATCTATGTAGCCAAAATGGAAGATAAAAGGTAAAGTTGAATGAGAGTTAGTAGTATCTTGGTTTCTTATTAGTGATTGCCAGTCTTTCCCAGTTGGCTAAAAGCTTGACTGCTAATGTGAAGTCTCACTTCCATATGCCACAGTTCTTTGAACTGTGGGACAGTACCCACTATGCAGTGAAATCAATTTTGTGAGTCATGGCAAGCATTTCTATTGAAATGGAATAGGTTAGACTAGAAAATATGAGCACATCATACTTAAAGTTGCCTTGGAATCTTTTTGTCTTAGTGTTCTACTGGAACATGAAAGATGTTTGAGAAAAGCAGCCATGGGCGTGTGTGCTCCCTGAAGGCAGCCTCCAAGCCTGACTCCTCTGGATCATTAGCATAGGTCTGGCATAGAGTAACATATAAATAATATGAAACTTGCTGGGATTATCTGACTGGAAAATGAAACCCAAAATGAAAACGCCTTTGTGTATGGGATGCTTTGTTAAAAATGGGGTTTGGAGACCAGCATGGTTGTCCTGGAAAGTGTTCTGGAGCCAGACAGCACTGGTCTGTGTGACTCTGGGCAGAACCTTCATTGTTTGGTGCCTCAGGTGTCTCATGTGTGCTATGGAGACAGTGATGGTGATCTCACAGGGTGGTCACCAAGTTTAAAAGAGAACTTATTTGCAAGTTCCTGGCACAGTTGGTCATGTTATTGCTATTCTAGAAAGATCTCATGTACATACGGTGCTGTACAAAGAAAAAGGGGTGGAGTGACAATATTCTGGCAAACTGCAACTTTTTTTTTTATGGAAAAGTACATTTCTTATTGCACCATTTTTTTCCTGGCTATGGTAACCCGCCAAGATGTCTCACAAGAAACTGTGAGGCGAGGCAGGGGGTGTGCTTAATGCAGACAGATGTAATGGATATGTCATCTCAATCTGTTAAGTTTCTCTAGTGCTAGCAGCCAAGTTGAGCATGGTGAATGCTGGGAACACTGTCAGGATATTTGTGTTGATCTCTAGGCCATAAGTATGTTTTCATCACACCTGTGTACCACCTTGTTCTCTCCTTTTCTCCACGACTGGGACTCCTGCTGTCAACACAGTAACTTGGAAATCTTCCCTGAAAAAGCAGTGCTTTTATTGCTGTCAGCAGAAACAAGGTCCAGATGACGCCACTAAATCCAGAGGCCAGGAAGCCATGTCCATAAAGGGCACTCACGTGAGCCATCTGTGATGCCCTAAGTTCTTTGTATATGCGGTCCCTACTCCTTGGAATGCCCTTGTTCTCATTACCTGATGAACACCTGCTCAGAAACTGGTGTTCGACATCAGGTCAGCTGCTCTGGAAGCCTTTCCAGGATTCCCTGGGGAGAGCAGCTGCTCTTCCTCTGTGCCTCAGAAGCCACCTCTGCAAACCCACATCATGTCACACTGGACAGCAGGCACCTGTCTCCCCTCTCACAGTGTGGATTCCTGGGCTGGGAGTGGTGGGTGGTGGTGGGATATTTATTTCTGGTGCCTAAAACAATGGCTGCACACAGGTGGCACTTGTGGAAGGAAGGACACTTCCATAAAAGAGAGAGCTAGAAAACTGTGCTACAGGAAAAAAGTCCTGGAGACTACCAGGTTTGCAAGCTGAGATTTGCCCACTTTATGCCCACTACGAGTTGTCTTATATAAAACACCTGGCTTCATCCAGACAACACAGCTACTCTCACTCTGGAGGTCCTCTGTGACTAACCTGGCAATGGTTCCTGGGAGAACTGTGACTGCTGGAGATGGCTCTATCTACAAGGACTGAGGGGATACTTTATATATAGGTTGGTTTTACAGCAGCACAAGACAGGGATCACTTTTATGATCAGAGGGCAAAGGAAAGTGAATCAACATGAACTGGGCACTGTGCTGAAATGTATCTTATTTCACACTTTCAACCAGGTAGGTATTGGTTTTCTATTTGCTTCATCTGCTATTTTTTTTTCCTCTTCTTTTCTGCTATCTTTGGACTTTTTCTTAATTTTCTACTTTATCTCCACTACTATACTAGCATGCCTCTATTTTAGTTTTTATTTTTAAAAATGGTTGCTTTATGTATATTTACCTAATTAAAGGCAGGGTAGGTATTCTAACCTTAACTTACAGAGCAGGAAACTGGAATTCAAAGTGGCTAAGTAATTTTTGTACCAGATAATAGCATAGAAATGATGGATCCTTCACTCAGCTGCCTGCTTCCAGGGTCTGAATTTTCCATCCCACATCAGAAATTGAGAGCCATTTTTTTTCTTTTAGCTTCACCTTAACCCAACTTATTGGGGACTCAGAGCTAGCCTGAGCTTGATTTCTATGTCAAACACTCCCAAAGTGCATTCCAAGGGATCCATCCAGTGAGATATTAGGATTTTATGGTGAAAAAGAGCTTTCATGGTCAGATAGATTTGAGAAATAGTGGATAAATATATTTAACAGTTCTCTTTACTACTGGCCTCCTTAGAACCTTTTACAAACTGACATGCATTATGATAATATAAAAATGGTGGTGGCTGGCCCTCTCAAATTTATGCCAGAACCATTATTTCCAGAGAACTCTCGGAACTAGTTTCCTTAAATATACTTTAGAAAACAAACGATGCTCTCTGTCATCCCACACCAGCTTTCTCAAAGAAGATGAAGTCTTATTAGGTGACCGGAGCAATGGACAGGGTCCTGCCTTCTGAGTGAGGCCTGGCCCTTACCTGTCATGAAGCACTTGATGTCCTGGGAGTTGCTGATAGGGTTGTTGTTTTTAAACATGTAGAGATTGAAAGGCATGATGTTGTTGCTACTAAGGTGCTTCCACAGCTCGTGATCTGGGCTAGTCCACCGTCCAGCCAGCACATCATAATCCCGCCGGCCCATGTGAATAAGCTTGGTGAGTGGGTCATACAGGCCGCCGTGGTAGCCAATGATGATCTGGAAGTTGGGGTTGGTGTCCATGTAGATCTCCCCATAAGCCGTGTACAGGATCTGCTTGATCATCAAGCCCGTCCCACTGAAGACAGCAAGAGGGGTTCCAATGTTGTCACAAGCTATGTAAAACTCATCGCCACTGCTAAGCTCCATGGCAAAGAGGTGGCCTTGCAGGTCGTAGTAGAGAGATGTGATCTCAGAGCTGGAGTGATTGTAGAGGTGGGTGACCTTAGTTGGGTTGGTCAGATCTGCATAGAAAAACTGTAAGTGGTGGCTGTGGCTGCTCCTGCTGGACACCCGCCGCCCCAGGCCATCGTAGCGGTACCTGACACTCCAGCCACCGGCCCGATTATACGCCTTGATGAGCAGGCCAGCTGAGTTATACTCGAAGACATCCGCACCCCGCTGCCTTAGGAAGCCATCTTCATCCATTTTGTATTGCACATCACCTAGCCTAGTGATGCGGTCACGGATGTCATACCGGAGTGGGGTGAGCCGTGCACTGTTCCCAGGGCTCAGCAGGTGCAGGTTCCCATTGAGGTCATAGCTGTAGCGCCACAGTGGCTTGTCATTGATGGAGACCATCTGTAGCTGGCCGTCAGCATCGTACTCATAGGAGTAGCGGGTGGTGTTGGCATAGGGTCCCACTTTCAGCTCCTTCTTCACTACCCGACCCATGTTGTCATACTGGACAGTCATCCAGTACATGAGTGAGCGGAAAATCTCATACTGCACTTCCTTCATCCTGCCATATGCGTCAAAGTGCTTGGTGTGGGTCATGACCGCTGTGGTAATGATCTGGTTAATGTCATAGTAGATGACACCAAATTTCCCAAACTGCTCGGTCTTGCCTGACACATCGTCATAGCGATAGAGATCAATAGGTAGTGGGGTCTCATTGATCACAGCCTGCATGCTGGTCACTCGGAAACTGTTGTCATAATTGTAATCAAAACGGGCATTGACCATGCCTTCCTCGGTGAAGCGGAAGATCTGCCGGTCGATCAGGGGCCCTATCTGACGGTAGCGGATGGTACAAGTGAAGCCTTCATTCTGCAGGTTGACCGTCTTCAGCATGCCTGCTGTCTCATCATAGGTGAAGCTCACCTTGGTGGTGTCATACAGCATCTCAGCCAGCTTTGACAGCTTGCCGTACTTATAAATCACCCTGCGTCCGGTGCCCAAGTAGAAGGTGTGGAGCAGGTGGCCATCCTCGGTGAAATCCTGTATGACTGAGGCATTGCCCTCGGGGGGCTGGTAGATGTTCCTGTAGTAGCCCACGGAGCGGATGGTTTCCAGCGTCTGCCGGGCCACATTGGGCATTGTCACAGAGGAGAGGTGGTCGTTCTTATCAAACTCGAAGATGTACTGCCTCTGGCTGTGGAGTAGCAGCACCATGGACTGGAGGGAGAGGAAAACCAACAGATGAGAGGAGCGTGGGGAAGGCAGGCCTGAGCATCAAAGACTTAAGGAAGTGGGAGTTCAAGGACAGTGGTGGTTCTCCTAAGTTATGCCCCACCAACAGCTTCCCAGCCCATGTGATCCTGCAGAAAGGTCATGGATGTATGGTGATAGGGTTTCCTTTTAGCCCTTGGCCCTGGCACAGGCCATCTGCTTCCCTTTGGTGAGCAGCCCTGTATTTCTGTGGGATAAGCCTGCTCTCTTCTGAGTGTGATGGGGTGTGTGGAAGTCTGGGAAGCGTGGGCCTGAATATGTACAGCAGCCTCCCTACTGGTTTCCTCACTCCAGACTTCTCAAGCCAATCTTTCTACCTAAGCAAATAGTTCCCTAAAGTAATCCCAGGAGAGGGTATGCTGTGATGGGAAAAGACAACCTGGTTTCTAAAAACAAATTTATTGTATGGCACTGGGGTAGTTCTTTCCCTGGCCTTGGATTTTCAGAATGTTAGATGACCTCAAAGCATGCTCTCTCCTCTCTCCTCTCTCTCCCTTCTCTCTCTCATCCCCCCCACTTTCTCTCTCTGCCCTACCTCAGACTCACTTACAGTCACAATCAAGGGATGCTTATCACAGAGTAAGCAGAGCCTGGGCCCTGGAAAGGTGACCAGGAGTAGGAAATAAAGTGGGAATCTGAGTATGAGAACTGGGGCATAAATTTCAGACTTTTCCTCAGGAAGAGTAAGTAGATAACAAGCCTACACATATCTATCTAGACATCAAAGCCACCATTTTATCCTATTTTGGACCAACTTTTGATTTGGTATTACCTCTGATTCCTAGTCCCTGGGATGAAGTGAGTTTGGAAGCAGAAGAGATTATCAAGGCCAGGCCCAACACCAGAAGCTCAGGAGTAGGCATTACTTGCCTAATCCTGGCCCCAGGTTTCTGCTTAATTCTCTGTGATGGGATTGCACCATGTAGGCTGGACTTGGGAGCAGAACCTATCCTGTTCTGTGAGTCCAGGAAGTGGTGGGGCTGCTCTTAGCTCTCCCCTATCAGTCAAGACTTTCCTGTTTTCCTGATCTAGGTCCCCTACCTGTCATACTGTCACCACGATCCATCTAGATGCCTCCTGGGACACCCCTCACCCTTTGTGGCAGATTTTCCTGAACATTTCTTTTTGCAAAATGAGTATCTTCATTTGAAGACCACATGGGTCAGATTTATCCCATGGAAGTCAGCAACCTAGCCCTGGCATGGCTGGAGGCACAATGGCTGACATTTTATGTGGCAAGTATAGTCACGGAGGGAGACACTTGCCTTCTCTAAGTATGTGTAGGTCCACGTCTTCCCATCAGCAAAGATCCTGGATGTGATGCGACCTGCCTGGTCATACTCCATTCTCTCAGACATGATGCCCCTCTGGATGCCAGCAATGTGGCCCCCAGGGGAGTATGTTACATTGACGCCATTCAGCCTACTACTGGGTGACCAGAGGCTGGGCCTCCCTGCCTGGTCATAGAGGATCCGGAGGGTGAACTTGCGGTGGTCATCATAGATCTTCTCTGTGCGTGTTACACGGTCAAAGTCCAGAGACAGGAGGTTTCGATTGTGAACCTGGGACAGGGGTAGAAAGACAGAGGGGACAGAGAGAGTTAACCTGAGAGAATTAAGCTGGATGTTGAGATCTTTGCTTTGAAGACCAGTGTGTAGCTGTGCTGAGATTCCCCTGAGTAGAGAAGGCAAGCACAGGTTAGGGGCATCAGCACATGGGTGTCAGCACACTGGCTCCGTCACTTGTCAGTTCTGTGACATTCCCCCATCCATTAATTGGAAATAGTAATGCCAATTGCATGGGGCTGCTGTGGGATGAAGGCAATGCAGATAGTAGGTGTGACCAATGAGAAAACATATGATTTTTTAAAAATACAATTTTCAAATGAGGACTATGACTACAGGCACATCCCTCCTGGCTCCTTTATAAAAACATAGCAGTCAAGTGGGGCAAACAAGTAAATCCCTGAGCCATACATTCGGTGCCAGATACGGTGCTGTGTTTAACTCCAAGGAGACCAAAGCTCAGGGAAGTGACAGCATTTGCTACTGGTCTTATGATGGTGAAAAATACTCTGGACTTGATTCTGACCCTTGCAGCTCGCCAGCAGACACTCACTGGTTCTCTGAGCAAGCCCTAGCCTTCTTGGGGGCTCTCTTGCCTTTGCTTCACCTCAGTTAGCCCTGAAGAGATCTCTTCCTCTTCCCTCTTCCCGGAGGCCCTGGGAGGCAGAGGGTATTCCAGCCTGTGGTGGTTTCTATGTGGCTCTGGGCCAGCTAGGGACCCGTCATAGCTCTGGACCCCTTTGTTCCTGCCTTCAGGATCAGAAACCCCTAATGCAGTCTCCACTCACACTGCTGGGGGCAGCACATAATTCAGTTTCTGTTCAGAGACTGAAACAGAGGCTCCCATAGAGGTAACAGTAAGTCAGAGATTTCATATTTTAATAAAGAAATATACTTTGTGGACCTGTTTCTGTATTTGCATCTGGCCCTTAGGCACCAGCTGCCCCAAAACAATGCCAGGTGCTCTGATGCTAAAGTGCCGGCTCCCTCTAATGGTTCTCTGGCCTTCTGTGGCACTTGGGTACATTTTCTGTCTTTTCCACTAGTCACTGGTTAAGTCTGACAAGTAGAAAGAGCTAAGCGAAAAGCAGATAATTAGGTCACATGATGCGAAATGGCATGTGTATCCTGAGGTAATGAAAGGCTCTCTGGGGCTCTGTGAAGTTAAAAAAATAAATAAATAAAGGCAAGGGAAGTAGGTCTAGGAATTAAGGCCAGAATATATCCTTAGCTTTGTGTACAGCTTTTCTGTTTGACCTAGAGCAGGTGTCTTCCCTTCTGTGAGTCTTAGTTCCTTCCTCTGTATAACCACAGAGTTGGGAATGGCAGAATTTAAATAAGAGTGCAAGGCATATAGAAGGTCCTGGATAAATGGTTACAATCATCTCCATTAAATGACAGCAAGTGATCTTGGTCAGGCTTGAAGGACAAATTTGCGTGTCCCCTGTCTCCCCACACAAACTCCAAGGCCTTGAAAATAAGGATTTATAGTGACAATGCTGAGACGACTTTAGCTGTGAATGGCCTGGTTATAATAAGGTTGCTTTCCCTGGGGTAATCAAACACAACTGCAGAAGCCAAAACAGTGTGGCAGTGTGAAAAATCAGAGGCGTTGGAGGTTGAAGCTGTGTTCTTTGCAGAGTAGGCAGAGGAAGAGATGGGCTGTACTATTAATAGTGGTGGGGGTCTTTTTCAAGCACCTTTGGAAAGTCATCCTACGGCTCCCTCCAGGTGATGCCACTGACAGCTAGCCCCCTCACCCCCCAGAGGACCTTAGTGAAAGCGAGCCGCACCTCTGTGGCAAAATTAATAAAATTGAATCAAGCAGCTCACTGGGGAACCACCTAATGCTTCCTGTGCTCTGTAGTGGCAGCAATGAGATTATTTTACATCTTTCTTTATTAAAAAAGTTCCCAGTCGTATAAAAAATGAGCTCCATTATGGGGAGGCATACCCGGCTAACATTCTAATTCCACATGCAGCCACTGTGGGTGGCCATTTATTTTTGGAGGAAGCAGAGATGTGGCCACCCGACTAGAGCATCATCAATCTCAGTCTGGGAGAGGGACCAATTAAAGCCTGGGAAACTTTTGGTCCAGTTCACACAGCAGAGAGAAAATCCTAATAGTACTAACTGCTGCCCTTTATTGAGCACCTGGGACCTGCAGCACTGGGCTAGGTGTTTTGAATATATTATCCTGTTCTACAGAGGAACCAGAGAAGTTGCTCGAGGCTACACACGTGGCCAGCAGGACTCCAACCCAGGTCAAACCTCCCACTTAGCACACTGCTTCAGATGTGCAGGAAGAGGTCTTTGAGGATTCACATCAAGTCTCAGGGAGGCCACAGATAGTGGCAGGCCACAGAGAACAAAGACAGCTAGGCCTTCCTCAGGGAACTAGTGGGAAGTTGCTTCCTACATTAGGGAGTTACGGCATTCCTGGCTGAGTTCTTAGCTCTTGAGGGAACAAAGGAGGCCTGACTTTCTGGGTTCTAGTTTTTGCAATTGGGCAAGTCACCTAACATTTCTGTACTGCTTGTGGGCCTGTTAGTCCTAGCCTTTACTTCACCTAGTTATATGACTTTGGAAAATCATCTGTACCCTAGTTTCCCTACGTGTAAAACAGGAGTTTATAAGAACTTTCTCCAGTAAAGGGCAGGGAATGTAGAATACCCGAGCTGTGTTGTTATGGGATGCTTCTGTGGTTTTCAGAGTACAGGGAGCACCTAGCTCAGCTCTGTGGTTCACTTCAGTTTAGCAAACGTCTACTAGGCACCCATGGGCTACAAGGTGCTGGGCAGAAAGCCAGGACTAGCTCACTCTGCCTGTCCCTTCCTTTCTGGAGCTTGAAGGAAAAGCTGCTGGGTACTGAGGCCTTGGGCTGAGGCCACAGTCCATAGACACATGGGAGGTAGTCAGAGGAAGCTTCTTTCAGGGCGTCCTCCTCTTAGAAAGTGCTCTGGGGTGCCAGACCACTAGGCCTGCCCCGGGCAATGACGGGCATGGGTACGGAGAGGCTGCTTTGATTATGTAGGAGGGGTAACTCTATCTGGAAAGCATAGAGAGTGTACCTTAGTTTCCAAAAAGCTAAAATGAATTTTGGGACATATTAGCAATAGTAACAACAACAATAAAGCAAGGACAACAAGAGTAGCTATTAGTGACCGCTTGTTATGTGCCAGAATCTGTATAAGACACCTTATGCTACTTCTAGTCTTTACTGTAGCAGCTTGTAAAATTTTGTTCTCATCTTCCCCGTTTTATGGAGAATGAATTTGAAGCTCTAAGATGACTGACTCATGCAAATTCACTCAGGGAGTAGTATCTGCTAGAAATTCACCCCAGATCTAATGCCCATGCCAACGATCTCTCCACAAGTCAAAATTGGAAAGATCTATACAAGCCTCTTATTCCACATGGCTCCCTGCTTTAGTTTGCCCTTCTTCAGATGAGGAGATTGTGGTCCCAGGGAGTTTCAAGAACAGAACTTGGCTCTCCAGATTCCCCTCATTCTCCCTTCACAGGAAACCACCCGTAAACCCCTTAAATCCTTGCTCACTCTCAGCCGGCGCCCAAAGACGGTGACCTGGCCGCGAGACTGCTCCTTGCGCTGCCGCCACTCCACCAGGTTGAGGCCGTTGTCTATGGGCAGTGTAACATTCCTCTTGCCCACAGTGGGGTTGACCGTGCCAGCCAACAGGTGGGGCTCGGTCTGCAGTGCCACCTCCATGCCATTGGCCAACAGCAGCCTCAGGGAGCCATCAGCCCCAATGTAGTAGCTGTTCCGGACTTGGTCTGAGGGAGAGACAAGCACAAGATGGAGTTGGGGGGGGAATCTGAACAATTTTTCCCTACTTAATACATGGGGAAATATATGGAGAACATAACTCACAACCTCAGTAATGAAAGAAAATTGTTAGAGATATTTTGTATATTTGTAGATTTTAGGATATTTCCTAATGTACTTATAGTTTCAAATAGTTGCTCATGGAGGTTTTCATGGTTCACTGTACTAGATCATGCTAGTGAATATTTTTCATAAACATTTTCTTAATGATTGTGTAGTATTTCATTATATGGAAATACTGTATATAATGAGTCATCAAACAAGATAATTTGTTTCTAGTTTTTCACCATTACAAGTACTATAAGTAAAATATATTTTAAACATTATAATAAGTTTAAAAAGTTAGTTGCAAAAGGACACATGTTGTAGGAGCCCATTTATAGAAAATGTCCAGAATAGGTAAATTCAGAGAGAATAGATTGATAAGTCATTACCAGAAGCTGAGGAGCAGGGAGAATGAGGGGTAACTGCTAATGGTTGTGGGATTTCTTTCCCATTCGATAAAAATATTCTAGAATTAGATAATGATGATGGCTATGCAACTTTGTAAACATGATGAAAGCCACTGCATTGTACACTTTTAAGGTGAGTTTTGTCATATGTGAATTTCAATAAAATTTTGCTTTATATAGATCAATGTCTTCATTTCAGTTTGATCAAAATAGATTCTTTTTTTTTTTTTGTACTGGGGATTGAACTTGGGTCCTTGCACTTGCAAGGCAGGCCACTGAACTGCTGAGCTAAATCTCCAGCTCCTCAAAATAGATTCTAAACAAGTAGGATTACTAGAGAAAAGGGTTAGACATTTTTAAGAATCTTGGTATATTAACAGTGTTCTTCATGACAAGGTGAAAAATAACATATATACAAATACAGTATATACATACACATACAAAAACATATGATTAGAAAATTTAAATCTGATTAAAACATTTTAATTTAGATCTTTACAAGAAACTTCTGGAGGAAAAAGTAATTTTCAGCTGAAAAATGCACGGAGTTCTCTTCTGAAAATGGAAACAGTATAACTGGTCTCTCCTGCCTCTGTGTGCCCTTCTGTCTCCTCTGTCTTCCGTAGACACAGCCCAAGTCCTCCTGCCTGGGTTCTGCTCAAATCTCATCTCTTTCTCGAAGCCCTCTGTCCTTCTGGTCAGAATGAATACCTCTCTTGCCTCCCACTTTTCAGGCTCGCTGTGGGCCTCATCAGTGATGTTGTAGCTGGGGGCTGTGGAGTTCACGGGTCTGTCCATGAACACATTCTCCAGGCTCTAAAAAATCTCATCTTTCTCGAAGCCCTCTGTCCTTCTGGTCAGAATGAATACCTCTCTTGCCTCCCACTTTTCAGGCTCGCTGTGGGCCTCATCAGTGATGTTGTAGCTGGGGGCTGTGGAGTTCACGGGTCTGTCCATGAACACATTCTCCAGGCTCTAAGTGCTTATGCCAGGCTCCATCACACAGTGATTAAGGGTATGGGCTTGGGTTCCATCTCTGCCACTGTCCTGCTGCGCTACCTTCATCACGTCCATGCCTCTGCTGCTTCACTGTACACTGGTGCTACGAGGACGGCATGAGATGAACAGGAATTGCTGAGAACAGTACTCACTGACAGGATTATATCAATCTGGTTATTATATCAATGTTGGTTATTACTAGTTTGATGTTTGTGACACCGTCCTAGGCATTGTCATGTGTATTCTCATCATCTCTGCTGTGTCTCTGCTATTCCACTTCACACAGCCACCACGGGGTATTTTTCTAGTACTTTTCACAGCCCTTCAATATCTCCCCATTACCTTGAGTGTCTCATTTGTGGTCTGGAGAATGGGTTTTGGAACTGGTTTATGTGGGTTCAATAGTCTTTTAGGTGTGTGACTTGGGGCAAGCTGCCTAACTGTTGCCTTCATTTGGAAAGTGGAGGCATTGGTAATACCGACCTCATAGGCCTGTTGTAAAGATTAAATAGGGCTAAAATATCAAATGCTAAAAATATAGTGTGAAGTTAGTAAGTACTCCAAAAATGTCAGCTATCAATATTATTATATTTTTATGAGCTCAGTATTTGCTGGCGTAAGCAAGATATGTCCCGAGCTATGTCAAGCCATAAGGATATAGTTTTCAGTGGAACCCCTCTCCCATTCTTCCCCGCTAGAATGGCATCAAATTGTCCCCCTACCCTGACTCCATATTTCCATGCTTTCTCTCCACATATACGAATTCTAAAACCTGCCTCAATGTTGCTATGCATTATTCACTGACAATCTGTATTTTACTTCCTTGGAAGAACGAAAAAGCCTGTGTCAATTTATCTTTTAACACTGCTCCTTGCTGAATCCACATATGCCTATTATAGTGAGTTTGGATGGACCAACATCTGCAGAGGCCCGACTCACATGATCCCCATTTGATACAGGCTGTGACTTCCCAAGGCTGCTACTCATTAGTAGCTGCTTCTTATTGCTTCCTGTAGTTCAGATAGAAGATGAAACTGAAAGAGCTTTTCACAAAGACTCTACTGAGGCGCTTGCAAAGCTGAGCATCCGAGCCTGGTAGGTTATCAAGAAGGTAAGGGATGTGACAGAGGTGCCAAAGGGGAAAACAGGTACTGTGCTTCCTGGATTCCAGGGTGCACCTTTTCTTTCAAAGAGTAATGTTCCTAAAATTGGAATGTGTCTTATAATCCAGGGATGCATGTTGAGCAGTACCTAGTTTTTTCTTCCATCTGAAAGGTTATTAAATTGGTGGTACATTTTAAAATTGGAAAGTGTGGCACTTTTGAATTTAAAAAAGTTGCCCAAAATAGAGAAGACTGCATCAACCTTTTTGAAAAATATCCCTAGTTTAGCATCTTGCAGTGGACAGATGGAACAATTCTTAACCACAGAGAAGAAAATAGGCCTGAAGAACAGGACACATGTCTAAGCAATCACTGGCCCTGCCATTCTTGGTCAGGCAGAATCCTGGCTGGCTGGGAGCTGGTACCTTCTCTTGGCAATAGTCCTATTGGGGGATAAATTGCTGGTGTGTGTGGGGGAAGAGATGTCCCAACCCATCATTAAAGGTGCTTGGTTGGGGAAGAAATGCTAGAGTTTGATTCCTCTTTCTTTGAGAACCATTATTGTTCCTTGAGTTCTCTGAAAGGCAAAAGGCCACCTTTGGGAATAAAAAGTGCAGGTAGAAATAGGTATACAAACTTTTTTTTTCTAATGGTAAATCAAACTGCTTTCTAATGAATTGCTCAGTTAATTAGCTCAAGAAGCACTTCCTGAGCAATACTCTGCCCGGCTGATGCTATCACTTTCCAGTGTATAAAGAGATCATCTGAGCAACTCTGTGAGAAAGGTGTCACAACACAGCATCATTTGCCAGACAGAGAAACTGAGCTCAGAGAAAAATGGCTCCCCCAGTTCACACAGGTGGGAACCAGCACAGCAGGCACAGGGCCCCTGGGTCCATTCAGAATCCCTGCTCTCTCTGCACTGCCTCACCCCACTTAACATAGCTTCAACTTGCTTTTTATTCTTCCCAAGGGCCACAGTGGGTGATGTGGTAGCAGAGTCAGAACTAGAAATTGGGCCTCTACCTTCCAGCCCTGAGCTCCTTTTCTACTCTTTTGTGTCAAAGCCTGAGGGAAAAAGTTAGGCAGGAGTTTCTTTAGTGATGGCTTCTTCTTTTCTTTCTTTTTTTCCCCCATGCTTACTTAATCCAACAAAACCTTGGGTCAGCATACCTCATGAGAACCGTTGAGGTAGACAGCTCACACCAAGATTCTACTACTGTGATTTACCTGAAGCTAAAAGATCCATGTGTATCAGGGAAGAGCTGATGGATGTAGAGAAGTGTCTCTTTTCTATGGAATCCTAGCAGAGGCACAAACCTTGTCAGGGCTTTAGGAAGGACTTCTCCATGACCAAATCCCTTTCATAATTAGGTGTAATTATTCTCATCCTTTGTCCTTGCCCGCCCCAGTGTGAGCATAAGTCTTTTAATCTGGGAACCATTAGAATGGCAGAATAACGAGGTCACCTGGATTAGCAGCTAATGGATTCTTTCCTCTTTGTTCTGATGATAATGGGAGGGGACAATGAAATACTGCTTCAAAGATTCTGGGAAAGAATTTACAGTACTCTGGCTTATGGGATTGCATATTAGGCAGCAATACAGAGAGAAACCAGTCATAGTTCTTTCCTGTTCATGGGCAGCTCCTGTAGCAGCTTATTTTTAGGGTCATCCTCTTCCAAAGGGGTCTTCCCACCCTCGTATCTCAGTTGCCAGGCCATGCCTCACTTACCTTGCAGTAGAGTGTAGAAGGCACCTGAGGCAGACAGGTTGGTGGTTATGGTGACATCGTCCTTGCTGGAGGTCTCTACCTGGACATGCACAGAGCTGTCTGTGTCACTTCGGAAACTGCTCACTTGGCCAGTAGGGAAGGTCACATTTGTCAGGCGGCCAAAACCGTCGTACCTGGAAACCAAAGGGCAGCACTGACTTGCAGAAATACGACAATGCTATAGCTGGAACTTGGCATGTTCTGCCTCTTGCCATGGTTTTGCGCGTTTCTGCCTTTTTTTCTAGTCTGCTATATTCCCCTGACTTCCACATTCCTTGCTCAGCGCACAGCACATAGTTATCAGGATCTGACTCACCTACTAATATTTGACTGCAGGAAAATGATTTGCCTCTGTAAGTTTCTTTTCTAATCCATAAAGTGGGAAGGATACTCCTGGTCTGCGCATGACCCCAGGAGACTGTCCTCACTGGAATGTCTCCTCACTGAGGCAGGGACTTTAACTGGTTACTGCTGTATTCCCCGAATTTAGAATGCTGGGCACACAGTAGCTACTCAATGTGAGTGAATGTTGGCTGTATAACCTGACTCCTTCCTTCCCACCTCTCTTTCGGACTTCCCCTTGAACTCTGATCTTCTGTATTTCTCTGCATCTGTTTCTGTTCCCCACACAAGCCAAGCTCAATCCATGTCAGTACAGCAAACCAGGGTGCCTGGCTGTGGGTTCATCCTTGCTTCAGCAGTAGTGGAACCACTAAGGAGAAATCAGGCAGGGAATGTTGCTAAGTGAAAGCAGGATCGAACAAGCAAGGCCTCTTTCTTGCTCTTTAGGAGAGGAGAGATTGATGGATTTGCATGCTACCTCCAATAGGACTCGCAGAACTGGACGTACAGTAGGTACGAATGAGTATCTACTGAATGCACAAATATGGAAGTGACTGCTCTGGCTAAATGATACCTCAGCAATCTCCCCAGGCATTTCCCCAGTTTTAGTCTCCAAGACAGAATGAGGCTTTGTATCAAGGCAGACAATTGTAATTATTATTGAAGGTAGCCTGTTCTGCATAATTAAATTGAGCCTGAAGAAGATACAATGAAAAGCCCCATGCCTTCCAGATCTGGTTTTCATTTTATACTAGAGGGCCAAAACCCAGTAATTTCCACTCCTCACATTTTCCATTAGAAGGCTGAATGTCTTAATTAAATGAACATGAAATGGAGCAACCAATTTATAAAATTGTCTCCTATTCATTCATTTCTCTATCTTCCAGAGCTTGAGAAATGCCACTGGATCTCCCTGCTGCTAGATCAATGCCTGTGATTATCCCATCAGAGCAGAAGTTCTTGCCTTTCTGACTTTGCGTGGAAAGAACTGGAGCTGCCCATCCCCTGGATTCTGCCCCATGGGCCACCTCCACAGAACCCTTTCTGTTTCACACAGAGATGCTGAGAGCTGCTCCAGCAAGGTGCAGAGACTTGGAAGGGGCCATTCTCTGCACTCCCTACGTTCCAAGTGGCTGCCTCAAGCCCCAGTCCTGTGATTGGGTGACATTTAGACAATGGCTTAGTTATGTGTTTCATAGCTTTAATTATGGGAGCCCACAAAGCTTTGGCAAGTTTTCTTTCTTTCTAACCATGAGAAATGGAAGGAACATTTGGTATGGGAAGGTCTTTGGAGCCAGATGGTCTAGGATTTAAATACTGGCTCAGTGCATGCCAGCAGCATGATCCTGGAAGATGGGTACTCAGTTATCTTTTCCTTTTAACCTTCAAGCCCCCACCACAAGTGATAGTACTTCAGGCAGGTTACATAGAACAACCTCAGTGAGTTTCCTCCTCTGCATGTCTCACAGAGATACTGTGAAGACCAAAAGCGGCAGCCTATTTGAATGCATTCTTTTTTTTTTTGGGGTATTGGGGATCAAACTCATGACCTTGGGATTGTAAGGCAGGTGTGGCACCACTGAGCTAAATCCCAGCCCTGAATGCAAACTTCTCTCTTTTTAAAAAAATCTTATTGAGTACCTGAATGCAAACTTCTCTCTTTTTAAAAAAATCTTATTGAGTTTATTGGTACTCTTTAAGTATATAGTACAGTTACATTCATCATTGGGATCTTGTACCTTTACATGACAGGTCTTGGTTCTCATTTTTTCCCCCATACCCCTGCCCTCCCTTCACCCCCACTCTCCCCTATTTACAAAGACTTTGTTTCCATTTTCCCTTTTCTCATATTTTTTCTTGTCCCTTATTTCCTTTCCCCTACCCTTACCACTTCCCCTACACCTTTAGCTCTTTTCTTCCTATTTCACATTATCAGTTATACAATTTAGATCTTACTTACACTTTTAGTTTTTCACACCAGAGAAGCTAGTCGGTGTTTACACGTATGTCTTATTTATTTCACTTAAGAGTATGGCCTCAATACTAAATGCAAACTTCTTACTAGGACCTTCAGGACCCCAGGAGACTGTCCTCCCTGGAATGTCACCTCCCCGACACAGAGACTTCAACTGGATACTGCTGTATTTTCAGAACTTAGAGTGCTGGGCACATAGTAGATGCTTAGTGTGAATGAATGTTGGCTGTATGACCTGACTCCTTCCTGCCTCTCTTTCTAACTTCCTCTTGAGCGCTGATCTGTATTTCTCTGCATCTGTTTCTGTTCCCCCAACATGCAAAGCTCAATCCATGCTGGGGGATGCTCACACTTACTGTTCCCTTTGCAGGGCATGCTTTTCCCCGCAATACTAATATGGCTAATTCCTTTCATCATTCATGTCTCAGTTCACAGGCTACTATGTTGATAAGGGCTTCCCTGACCACCTTTTCCAAAACAGGTTCTGCCATCTCTATCAAAGTATCTTACTGCACTGTCTTCATTATACCCACTATCCTGTTTCTTTGCTTACTGTGGTCTGTCTCCACCATTAGAACACAAGCTCAATGAGGACAGAGACCTTGTCTGTATCCTCAGTGCCCAGAGAAGCACTTGGCATAGAGAAGGCACTAAAAAATGTTCAGTGAATGAATGAAGACATATAAGTAAATAGTAGGTTTTTCTGCAGTTACTAGAGATTGAATCCAGGGCCTCATGCCTGCTAGACAAGCACTCTAATACTGTTACACTCCCAGTCCTTTTGTTGATTTTTCTAAGACATGATTGAGAGTAATTCATTTCATCTGTTTTATTTGCTGCACCCCGTCCCCACGAGGAAGGGAAAGCTCAATAATATTCACAGAGTAACATCACGCACATAATCTTTAAAAAAAATTTTTTTTGTTACCGGGGATCAAACTCAGGACCTTGAGCTTGCAAGGCAGGCGGAGTGTCGCTGAGCTAAATACCCAGCCCACATAATCACTTTTTTGAGGTAGGGATTATTATTGTCCTTTTGCAATGGTGCTCATGAGGCCCTGGGAGGATAAGTTACTTGCTTAAAACTACAGTTAGTAAAGGATACAGATTCAAAGTCAGGTCTGTCTGACCTTAGCAAATGTGTATTTTTTTTTAAGCTGTCTATAAAAATGATAGTGTTTCAAACCAAAGCCTTTGTGTTCATCATTGTGTCAAATAAAAAAATTCTGTTTGGAAGCGTCAAGTATGTCAAGAAGACTGACAGTTTTCCCTTCAAGATGCTTTGCTTGGCTACTGCAGCAGTTGACTTTGTAGCAATGCCAAGCCCTCAGCGAGGGGTAGGGGAGAGGGGCCAGAGATGGCCAGATGATTGCCTCTCCATTATTTCCTTCCACTGACATTTTTTTGCTCTATTTTTCCAAAGCATCTTTGGAGCACAGTGAAAGAAAACACATAAAAGATTCATATAGTTGATGTGAACTTGGCTCTCAGAAGAGGCCCGCTAAAGGGTATCTTCACACACACTGCGAGGCTTTTTTCTTCACACTTGATACTCCATCCCACGCCATTACTATGCGCAGCTAGTGAGGAAAATGCCAAATTGCCTTTTCCTTACTAAACTTTTGCTGATCTCAACTTTTTGGTTGAAAAGTAAAGATCTGATTTTTGTGACTGTCATCTATGACTGCGGCAAACCACACCATCGCCAACAAGGGAATTGGATGCCATCATCTGCGAGTAATTCGAGTTCACAGCCCATGCGCACCGATAGTCTTCTTGGCCCTAGGTCAGCGGAATGGATGGCATCATTACATCACTGGCTTCTCTAAAATGGTGTCAGAGCCAGGGAACTTTCTTACTTCTTCAGTAAAATTGGTACTTGATATCCACTTCATATAAAGTTAAGTTCCTACAGTGAGTTCTAACCTTTAGGGTTCCCCAGATCTGGTCCCCCCTCCCACTGTCGGTCTTGCCCCTCTCTGATGCTGTACTGAGGCAGTGCATCTGGGAAAGTGTTCAGGATTCAACAGGTTTAGGATTGAATCCTGGCTGTGCCACTTACGTCTAACAGGGCACAGAGCTGGTGAGTCCCCGTGCTGGTTATTCTGCCCCCCTGTCCATTCTCTGCTCTTCTCTCTGCCCAGAGACTCAACCCCTGTAGACTGTGCTGGCTCACTTCTGCTTAGGTTAATTCAGGGTGGCAGGGTGTGCACATTGGCAAGAGGCTGGAGGTCAGAACAAGCTTTCCCTGGCTTTCCTTCAGTGCTCTCATACCTCCCATAGCAGCTGCCTTCATACCTGACCGCATCTTCTACCCGGTGGTTTCTCCGGCTTTCACGGTGTCACTAACGGTACCCTACTCCTGTGTCACTGCGAGCATCAGTCTGAGCGTCAGTACTGCTATTCTGTTTGAAGTGCCTGCGTGCCTCAGCCTCCTTCTTTGGTTTCTTACTCCTGTCTGTATCTCTAGAACACAGCTTTATTTGAAACATATTTTTGTTGAACATCATATCTGAGTGGAGAGTTTTTTTGTTGTTTCTTTTCTGTACTTTTTGTCTTCTAGTTTGCATGGTTTCTGATAAGAAGTTGGCTGTAATTTTTATCCTTGTTGCTCTTATAAAATTCTCCCTCCCCTTTTACAGGGTGCTTTCAAGATTTTATGTTGTATTTGGTGGTTTGAATATGATATGGCTAGGAATGTGTGTTTGTGTGTACTCTGCCTGGTGTTTTTTTTTTTTTTCAGATTTGGATCTGTTTTTAATTATGAACATTTCTTGGATACTATTTCCTCAAATATTTCTTCTGCCTATTTCTTCT